CCTTATATGTATATTATCATCCCTACCTAGCATGAGGCCTTTTGGGAGCTCACTGGCTTCGGGTTCCATAGGAACTCCGAAGTTAAGCGAGAAGAAGGCTAGAGCAATCCCATAATGAGTGACCCACTGGGAAGTTGCTCATGAGTTCCCAAAAACAAAACCGTACGGGCGTGGTCGGGGCCCAAAACGGACAATATCGTGCTACGGTGAAGTCGAGCCCGAGATGTGGTGCGGGCCCGGGCCGGGGTGTGACATAAAAACATTTCATATATTAATTGTATATTATTTTAGGAGAAATTAGGTTCACATCCTTCTTTTTGTTACTCCATTGATTAAAATCCTATTAATTTTTAATTTTTTATCAAGGTCGTTGGGTATTAATAACATCACTAATTATTTGAATAATAAAATATTTTTATTTTTAAATATATTCCTTTAGTGTTAAAAATGTTACAATTAGTATATTTATATTTATGGCTAAATTTTTTATCATATATTTTTATTTTTAGTTTGTACCTATTTTTAATTTGCAAATATTTTTTAAAGGGCGTTTTGATATAGGCGCCTCGTTTTTTAATTTTTTAGACTAAACATACACTCCTTTTGAAAATTTGATCAAGCATTTTCCTAAAATTTTGGTTATTCATTTCAGTTTTGCACATAAGTTTATTTTGTTTAGAATTTTAGTTTTTCACGACTTTTCCTAAACATTTCGTTTTTTTTTTCTTTTCCTCTTATCCCTATATTTATGCATTTATTATCCATCTCTATGCATTTTTTTTATCGTTTGTTATAATTTTACTTCTTCTTTTTTTGTGAATATAGTAGAATATTTATTAAAAAAATTGTCAGATTTTATTATTTAGAAGACCCAACACATAATAAAGATTTGTTTGATTATATAGCTACATCTAGTTACCTATAATATTGACAAATTTAGTTTTATAGTGGATTTGATTTTTTGTATTTCTCGGTACATTTGGAATGTAAATGTACCAAAAGGGTTATGAGATAGAGACATTTGGTTTTGTGGTACATTTGTGATTTTTTGTTCATTTGGTCTTTTGGTACATTTGGAATCAAAACGCACCAAAAGGGTTATCTGACGGTGGGCACTTTTGGTTCATCTGTACATTTGAAATTTAAACGTACCAAAAGGGTTACACAACAATGGATACATTTGGTTTTATGGTACATTTGAACTTTTGGTATATTTGGTTTCTCGGTACATTTGAAATTTAAACGTATCAAAAGTCGATACTTTTGTTCTCAAATGTACCATAAGTTTTAAGTATATTTTTTATATATCTATACTTGAAAAAATATATATTAAAGACTTTTTATTGAGACATTTTTAATAGAAAGAGAATTTTTATTTTTTTTTAAATACTGATAATAAGGTAATGAGGAATTAGTTAATTAATTTTTTATTTTATTTTATTAAAAAAATGTCATTTAATGTGTAGAAGGGGATTGACGAAATTAAATTTCTATACTGTAGGCAATTAGTTGCTCAGTTACCTTATGCCTCTATATAAATGCATTTAAATTAATGACACGGAAATTAAATAAATAGAAAATTATTGAGGTGGCAATTGATCAAAGCAACTTAATTAAATCTTTAAAATGGATGAATGTTTAATCTAACAACTATAGAAAAGATGTAGGGCATTCTAATTTTCCCATTTTTTAATTTGTACCAATTTTCTTTTCATTTTTAATTTGTACCCATATATTAGTTTCTTTTTGTGCCCATATTTTTTAAAGTTTTATTTGTGTTTGTACCTATGTGTATACCGTCACGTGACATTGTATATTTAATCAATGATAGAAAAATTACATATGGTATATTTATGTTTTATGCCTAAACTTTGTATCATATATTTATATTTTTAGTTTGTACCCACTTTTAATTTGCAACATTTTTTTTTAAATTTGTAGTATTTTCTTTTTAGTTTTATTTTGTACCCATGTATTAATTTCTTTTAGCACCTATATTTTTAAAAATTCATTTGTACTCATAATTTTTAATCTTTTATCTGTACCCTAATTTATTTATAATGTACCCATTCTTCTTTATTAATGTACCACTTTGTTATATGTGAAATGTACCAATTTTTTTGTAAAATGTATCAATTTTTTTAACATTATGGATACATTTTTTTGCCATTTATTATTTCTTATTTTTACATAATTTTTATCCATTTATTCAATCAAAATGTTTGAATTTTTTTTATTGTAACCGTTTCTAATAGTATTATAATGAGGGATTTTAAATTTATAGGATTGTAAATCTCATAAAATATCAAACAATTAATGTCACAACTATAAAAATATAAATAGTAATAGTAATATAATGAGGTATACAAAGTCAAGGGACCTTGATCAAACTTTGAATAATATTAATAGTATTATAATGAGGGATTTTAAATTTATAGGATTATAAATCTCATAAAATATCAAACAATTAATGTCAAAACTATAAAAATATAAATATTAATAGTAATATAATGAGGTGTACAAAGTCAAGGGACCTTGATCAAACTTTGAATACTATTAAGGTTTTAATCAAATAATGTTAAGGATTAGGGACCGCATCCAAAGTATCCCATTATTTTATTTATGACCGATATGAGATCCTATTTTGGAACATAAATATGGTTACTCCATAATTTATGCAAGTGTGAATATACAAATGTGACCGGAATAAAATTCTATTGACCAGGTCATATATATCTTAGTCCATCTTTAATGCACGATCAATACTCAAAATCTTACTTGCAACATAATACTACGGTCTAGTGGTATTCCTCTTCACTTGTAAGTCAGAGGTCTTAGGTTCAATTTTCGTCAAAGGTAAATTTGAACCACATTATTGCTAGTCTATTGTGAGGCTTAGTTTACTTCCCACCCCTTGAGGTAGAGAATAACGTTTGTTTAAAAATAAAAAAAAATAAAAATAACTCAAAATCTGACCTTTATCTAAGATCCAAACATATACCCGCATGAGTTTGCCTCAAAATTCAAATGGTGAACCCGCATGGAAGAAAGGAAAGAGAATCTAACTAAGTCCCACCATCCCTAAAATTCCTAAACATTTGAATCATGGCTTAGAGCAAAATTAAAAATAATTGCTACAAGTCTTATCCAGCATTATCTATAAACTTAAATTAAGAACTTGGAAATTAAAATTTAGGTTTAAGTTTAACACTGAATTGTGCACGATGATTATATTCTTTGGAGATGATACAAGCCTATAAACTATAACGAAGCCTTTCATCACTACACATGCAACTCCGACAGCAAATGGAGAGATGCTACTACACAGTTAGCATCGTACCGATATTACTCAGCTGGTTTGCTTTATAGACTAGCTAGGAGCCTAGCTAGGAGGCGTGGCTAGCCATACGAGAAAATAACTAGCACAACCGCAAAGTTACGACTGAACTGACCTCTGCCACCAAAGATTAAAGCAGCTCTTTTTCGATCATGCATCAGCACAGCTTTAATCTGATCAAAAGAATGATCTGGACTGATCACCTACCACTGCTTCACAACACATGATGATCGACCAAAAATATACATCTCCGGATATAGAGATGTGTGTGTGTGTGTGTGTGTGTGTGTGTGTGTCAACACAATAGGATCGACCAAAAATATACATCTCCGGATATGGAGATGTGTGTGTGTGTGTTTGTCTCGATGCCGACAAAAAATAGTAAAATTTGAAACGAGGTTTAGTCTAGCCAAGACTGCATGCTGAGATTAGGATGAGAGAATTTAATTCACTTTAGTAACAGGCAGAAAAACAACTACTGAACTGTTAAACTTGTTAAGTAATTTGTTCTTAAAGGAAAAATGTATGGGTTGGTTTAAGCATTTACGTTTTTTTTTTTTTTTGCTTACAATACGTTTTTAACATTGATTGCAACTCTTACACGATTTTTTATAGGACAAGAATTCAAACTCTAGAGTAATTCAAACAACCAACTACCTTTTAGTGAAATTTTTCTTCCTAAAATGAGCAAAAGTCTCAAATTTGAATCCACCCTACTGCATATTGTTAATGCTCAAAATTAAGAGGTTAACAATGACTAGTGTGGTCGTGTGATTGGCTTTTGGTAGGCTCAAGATTGCAATGTTAAGAATTGAACAACAAAGTTTTAAGTGGTTTACTCCTCAAAATTGGGTTACGTCCACTGAGTTATTCATATATCTTGACCGAAAACTAACAGATAGCGCTCGGCACAAACTAATTTCTTTTTTTCTCTTTTTTTCCTACTCGTCCTCCTTCTGTAGGCCTTCAATATGCCCAAGTCCCTGGGCTAGAGTCTTCCACCACCTTTGCATGTAATGCGACGAATAGACTTAACCTGCTAGCTTCCCCTCCATCCTTTAGTCCACATGCAAGTGGCGATGAAGTGACATTCACTCAGGTCCACTTGCATGTTTTCTTGGGACAACGCGTACCGAGTGCCTTGCTCAGTCTTTGAATTTGTGAGAAATCAACACCCGAGTGCTTGATTTGTGATCAACCTTTATGTCCCTTCATAAGCTCTTGTTAAGAGAAACACTTCAGTTTGGATGTTACGTCAATTGGACATCACAGCAGAAGCAAGACAGCGATAGAAAATGTAGTTTTAGAGCCTCGAATAAAGCATGAAGTGTTCAAGCTTTGATTCAGGGAGACTGGTTTTCTAGAGTTTTGACAATTCCGCTAAAGCATGGTGATTAAGACAGAATAAACCACTTTTAACCCATATCTACACTACCGTCACACCGAAAAATTACTCATCTTGCACTCTCATCCGCCAACCAATTCCATTACCAATTCTCGCTGTTTCTGATAACTAGAAGAACACACACAAGAAGAACTGAAGAAAACATCAAACCGCAGCAGGAACACAACCCACGTATGTCAAATTAGCACAGGTGGGTGCTCGATCGTGCTATGATCATCACAATGCACCCACATAAGAATGTTGCGCTAATTCAGCTCATGTTGGTAACAGCATTTATTAAAAAATAAAGATAAATTAAGCCTTCATTCTACCGAGGCAAAGAATTAGGTTTACAAATTAATGGAAAATTTCCTAAAACCGAATTAAGCTGCAACAGAAATTTTCAAAAATATTATGTCCAGAACTTCCCATACCTATTGAATCAAACAGGGAAATTATACGTGAACATTCTCTGGTGTTGCAATAGAAACAATCTCCATGCTAAGCCTCTGTTACTGATGACTCCAAATAATCATGCATCAATTTAAACGATGTCCCCTGCAAAACCAAACTACTTCCGTCCCCTACTCAGCCTCTGCAAGTGATAATTGATGCTTCCCATTGACTTTCGGTTTTTGTTGCTCTGTAGCGAAAGAGTCAGGTGCATTAGGATAGACTTCAAGCAATGAAAAGAATAGAGCGAAAAACGGAAAACAAAATGGAGATGCATGATCAAAGGAGAACAACAGAAAATCTACCTGAGCCTCCATACAAGTACCCAAAAGTTCCTTCTGCTTTACACACTTATCATCACAGAGCTGGTTAGTAGCCATGCAGTTGAGAAATGCTATCATTTCCTTCATGCAAGGTTTGTGAAAAGTCCCAAATTTCTTTGGATTTATATACACCGTACCAACTTTCCGACCCATTCTATAACTAACACCTGTCCAAGCAAGAAACTGTTAGGTTCACTCAAATCTTGGAAGAAGAAAAATTCCGGTAGCAATTAAATCGAATAAATCATGGGGAAAGCTGCCATGAACATGACCACAACCATTGCTTTTATTTAAGTTAACACGACTACTTTCACCGAGGTGGAAGGCTCATGTAAGGTCTTATCCAGGAGAAAACCTGAAAATCTGGGTTCACAAAGTTGCACAAACATTTTACATAAAGTGGCAAATGCCGTAACCCTTTGCAGTTCAACTATTGACCCAAAAATGCCGCATAAAACCCAATTTGTTGCTCAGAATTCCAGTCTGCAGTCCAAACAACTGTCTCGTCCAAAGACGGTTGTTGTAATCGGGGTGAATAGGCTACCCACACCCTGTGACATAGGCTCCTAGCTGTTTTAATTCTATAGGTAAAGACTAAAGACCAAATAATGATGGTCCTGAAAGTCCTTTTAGAATTACTTACTGGTTTACAAGTATGCACATTCATCATATGCTTTTTCCCACTGCACCTTACAAAAGATTCGAATTGAAAATAGTAAAATAAAATTAAAACAGCGAAGCCCTGAAAGAACTGTATTCAATGGATGAAACGCACCCATCATTGTAAAATTCTTTATGCGACCAGTTCCACCATAACAGAAACAAGCGAGCTCACAAACTTTGACAGAGCAAAATTATAAAGCTTGAAACCAATAATATACACTCTCTCAAACTATCAAAACAATTGCAATTCAATGTTACAAAGCTCGAAAATCAAGACGCGGCACAATCAAATCTTCATTCGATCATCAGCAAGCCCAAAAATGGTACACAGGTATAGGATTCAAAACAGTAATGAACAAAAACCCAGTTTGCACAGTAAATGAGCAAGAACAAATTAACCAATTGCAGCATCAATCAGCGAGCGTAAACTAACCCACTTGCACCGTAAACCAGCTAATAACAAATTATCCCAGCAAGAACATATTAATTCAGTCTAAGTGTTAATCAGCAATCACAAAATTGACCCAGTTGCAGTGAAAACAAAAGAATGAGCACTCGATGCAAAATGCTAATTACATTCAATTAAATTAACAAACTTTACATTTTCCCCCAAATTTCACGACCTAGAACACCCTTTGGATCAAAATCAAGTAAAAAGTAAATAACAAACCCAATTCTACAAACACAGAAACGAAAGCATGACAAGTAGAGAAGAAGAAATGGAGGAAGGGAAGAGTAAATTACCGAATCGGTGGCTTTAACCGCGGAGAATGGCCACTCTAGGGCTTGCTGCTCTTTCGAATTTTTCTTTAATTTTCTCCTGGTGATTGATTTCCAGAGAGAACGCCGAAGTTGTTCGCAAATGGGACGGGGAGCAAAAGGTCCTAAATTGATTTGGGACTGGACAATTGGCCCAAATTGAGTAGCCCCTATTCAACTCGGGCTTGGATAATTGGCTTTGGGCTGGCCTTATTAAAATAGACAGATGAAATTAACAAAAATTTAAAAAAAAAAAAATATATATATATATATATATATGTAAGGAAAACTGGATTTCTATGAGTCTCGTTCTCTCGGTCTCCAAACAAAAACTTTATTGTCACCCGGTATAGGTATGTTGCCTCAATTGTCTTTGTGGCAGATATGTATTTGTGTGGTGCTTGTGTTAGTTGTGGTCGAGGAAGGGTTTTACTCTGTCTGTTTGTGCAAATTCTCTCTATACCAATGTATTAGTCACTGGAGAATACGTATCCATGTGAAAACTCATGTAACTAGTAACGTTCATCAATTGCTATAACTTCTTGTAAAATAACCATTTTAATCTCAATCATTTATATCAAATCTAAGAGTGAGTGATCATGTTTTACCTGATCACTTGGTGCATGAGAGCATTCTTATCTTCTCACTTTCATTTGAAGCATTTTCATTAGGTAGAAAATAAAACGGATTTTAACAAGAGTTCGTTGGAGAAGTAATAATTCGTGTAGCCGTTGAACGTAATACGTGAATAATGAACTTTGATACTATGTTATAATTGAGTTTAAATGCTCTTTGTATATCTACCACAATTATTTATGCCCATCTAAAATTGACAACCAAGAAAAAATAAGAACATTACGAGTGGACATGTGACGATTTTTTAATTTCTCCGATAAAACCCTTGGGGGGTGTTTGTTACACCTCCTTAGGAGGGATTGGTTTGGACTAGCTTAAATAAGACTATAATCCTATGTTTGGTAAGGTTCTAGACTAGAATAAGTGGGACTTGCCTCGACTACGAGGCATTCCGCCCTTCGCTAAACCTCGTTAGCTAGTCCTCTGCTTTCACTTGGTATTAAGCGGGACTACAAAAACGAGGCAGACATCCAGTTCCAGTTCACGGGGTCCACTTCTTTTTCTGCATCACTGTCATCGTGGCCATGCCGTGGTGCTTGGAATCGGGAAGTTGGCTTTTTGAGAATTGGAGGAGTTCTCAGGAGGGTTGGGTCTTGGAATTAAGAGGGCTGAGATTTTTTTTATTTGATTTGGGGATTTTGAAAGTCAGAGAGCTGAGACCTCCAAACCACGAACTCACCCCATCTTTCAGATATGCTCACGTATTTCAAGTGCAAAGGAGAAGGATGGAAGATTTGAATGTTGATTGTGAAAAGCGTCTAGTATGCAAACCAGATCTTGATTGTATAAAGGCTCTACATTTTGACAGCGAGGTAATTTGGATTCCAATACCCCAATACAAATTCTCTTAATCGATGAAGAAAATTAAGAGATTGATACAGGATTTGACAGAGAGAAAATGATGGGGAAGAGATAAACGATAAAGGATATAGGAAGGAAAGGAAAGAAAATGTTCTTGGTTCCATTCATCTCCAGACTTCACCCTTTTTATTATTAATTTTTGTTTAATTTTCAAGTGAATTAAAATTTGTCAAAAAATTATAGTATGTGACTTAGTCCGACATTGCACCAAATGCTTCACTAAGTTAGTCCAATTTAGTCTAGTCCAAACCAGTCCAAGCCAGTCCAGCTTAGTCCCTGAAGCTAATCCAATCCGAGATAATCTGGTCCAATAAACGCACTCATGAAGTGTTTTCTTTTTATAAAAAAATTATAGTTGTGGACTTTTTTTGAATTTCGTATTAAATTTTTTGATGCGTACTCTCAGTAGACCACACGCAAGAGTTCCTCTAAGAGCTGCTGCATGTGTTATGAAAAGTCAAAAGGAGAAAATTGAAATCCTCTCCATTGTATGGAACAAAGGTAACAACTTACCGTTAGCAATCAAAGCCAACATTGCAAAAAGCGAAGGAAGCTAAAAATCATGTCAGATACTATAAATCGATGTCCTCCTACTATTACGGCGGGCAGCGTATACGCAATTGGGCACACGGAAATTCCTATGATCGTTGCAGTGGTGGAGCCAATGTGGTGGTATGGTCGTCTATGATCTTAATAATTTTAAAAACTCTATGTATATTTGTACATGTATTATATTTGACTCTATAAACAGTTAAGATAAACTAAATTACAATCTTCTCTCATCTTGTGTGAAACTCTATTGTGCGCACCAAATACTCGATGAATGCCTAAGTTGACTAGTATTAACAGTTTTCAATATTACACCATAGTTTCCTATAGCCATCCTCTACAAGCCTATACCGATCATTAATGTTGGCAAGAATCGATAAGTTCCTACCAGGTGCTCAACGAAATTGTCCAATAAATTTTTTTTTTTTTTTTGTCAAAATTATGGCCTGTTAGTTGAAAATCTTGGATCCACCACTAAACCCTTGATTATTATTTTTTTTTTAATTCCTAAATATTCAACACTCAATCAAGTTGATGGATGATGAGCGAGGGAAACAAAAAAGAAAAGTTGGTGGGTATATGGACCCTTCTCAATATCCAAAGTACCAACAGCACTCCACTAATTTGCACCAAACAAGCAACTAATCAAGTTGTTTTCTTCATCCTCCTTGATTGCCAATTGTCCATAATTCAAATTGCTTTAGCTTGAAGGCGTGTCATGGTTAGAAATCAGTCATTTCATCAGTAATTATTAATTATCTAATCTCTCAAAGTATCTCCAATGTTATCCTTAAAATTGTTCCTACTACATATACGTTCTGGTATCCTCCAATGGGCCAAAAATGGAGTCCCTATAGCATGGGGACTCGCCAAAGTACTAAAAAAAAAATCTCATGTATAGGGGTGTTGTAGGAACTCTCAATGGGGAGGGGTCCCTAATCTTTTTGAGTTGGGTGATGTCTCCACCACGCGAAGAAGGTGTGAAGCTGTTGTGCAACTACAAAGAACGCACCCAACACGCGCGAATACTTCTTACTCGCATTAGTCAGGGGTGGCCCTCGCTGCTTTGTTCTTTTGCTTATTGATAGGAAATCAACAGTCATGATAGGTTTTTTTTTTTTTTTTACTATTTAGATCAACGACTGTGAAATTAACAATAGTTTTTATTTTTTTAGTCCCTACATTTAAGAATTCTACTATAACAACCTCCCATTAGAAACAATATTCCTCTAAGAACCTAAATATTCTCTTAAAATCTGTAAAAGAGTCCTCAAGAGTGGTGGTAGAGACCCTAAATTAGGGTCTACCATTGGAGATACTCTTAAGGATTGAGGGTTGAAAGAATTAGAATATCTAATTTAAAATCAACCTGGGAATGCTCCAAATGTTAAAAAAAAAAAAAAAAGAAGTTTACTTTTATGCATTACTATGTTTTCGACGTGATATCCTCTCACTACATGTAATTTTTTGATAATATGTTTACTTACAATAAACGAGAATTGAAATCCTATTGAATCATTTGTGTTTACTTAAATAATGAGTGTGGAGCCAAAAATAATCACAAGGCGACGCATGGATTTTTGGATAGAAGAGAACAAAAATATCATTGAGGCATATCGGGATTTATATACGCGAGCAGCGAGCAAACATCCCTCAACCAAGTCAAAAGTGCCCAAAATAGGTAACAAATTCAAAACTATTTCATCCACCCTCATCATGTATTCTTCACAAGGTAATTATTTCATAACCCCCAAAACATTTCTTTTAAATTGTGTTAATTAGTCAATTAATGGATTTATTACCTAATTAATCTATTAATGGCTAATTAACTACAAATTACACCAAAAAATACCACAAATGGCGGGTCCCTATTCTCCTAATAGGGTCGGCCATATCCCTATAAATAGCTCTCCATTCTCTCAAAAAACTACTTCCAAGTCTCTTGCAAAACTCTACAAAATTCTCCAAACAATCTTTCCTCAAAATTCTAACTTTGGCATCGGGGGTTCTTCGGCCAAAGTCCCTCCCAAAATTCATCGTGGGTGTGTGAGACTTTTTGGCCTTGACCAAAGGTGTGATTTGTTTTGTAGGTGCAATTTTGTCCAAGAAGAAGAAGGTGGCAATTTGCATCCACAAATTGGTGTTTTCATTGAGAGCTGAGTTCCACACTCGTAGAAGACTCTCGCATCCAAGGTTTTCTATTTTCTTGTCCATTTGTAGATTTTTCGTACGTTCTTATTATTAGAATTTTTTATTTGCAAAAATTCTTTGATAAAATGTAAAAGAGAAGTATAATGGCTAGAAATTTAGAAAATTCAACAAATGAAAATTTCAACATTCAAGAAATGAGACCACGGCGATCCATGAGGCTAAATGTGACAATAGGTGGAGTGGCACCACCATCACAAGTTTCCACCACGGGAACCACCGCAGTGGCTACTACGATAGCTACCCACAGCAAGGTCCATAGTGTCACCATCACGGCCCGAGCCGTGCCATCCAAGGGGGCTTACGGCACTAAGGCCACGGCCCAAGCCATGTCACTTCATGCCTAACTCGAGCCCAATGTGTTGCCAAGCCGAGCCCAAGCCTTACACCCTGCGTGCATCACACACCGAGTAGCCCACTCTCATGGCCTAGCCTACTCCCGCAACATTCTAAGCAGCCCAAATCGGCCCAAGACTATCTCAGCCATCTGGACTAACCATTTAGCCAGGGGCATTTTCACCACGTTTCTTCACAGATTTGACATTTCCCAATTCAAATCTCGTGCCCAGAGCCTACCACACTTTTACTGCTCAAGAGGCATATTTCTTCCAAGCTCTTCCAATCCAAATGACGAGCGCCCTTGCATAATAGACAATCTTGGTGAATCAACTCTTGCAACGCACCGAGATCCAACGTGCCCTGGACGAAGTGTCCCGAAAAATGACAAGGGCAGACGAACCTCTCCACCAACGTTCCGGCAAACAACCACTTGACCAGTCACGAACCGAGTAGTTCTAACATAAGACACTCCCGACTGGACCCCTGAGATAGTGTATACTCCCGTCTTAGCGCGTGAAGGAGCGTGCACTCTCAGTTAGGCCCATGGA